TGCTTTCCTTATGGTGTGCATAATCTCTTGCCCAATGATGATGTTGTCTTAAATGTTACGCCTAGGAATGAAGCTAGCTTGAAACGGAAAAATGATGTCATTCATAAAAACTCTTCATCCTTTGAGCAATAATTTTAGAAACACATTTGTAATGAACAGAATAGAGGGAGATTGGCCTAAAATGTTCCACCCACTGAGGATCATTCCTCTTGGAATAAGGGCAACTAGAGTTCTATTTGCCTCTTTAATTGATATAGTACCCTCAAACACAAACCTCACAAAACAACATAAACTGAGACTCACTGTCTTCCAATTCGTTTGAAAGAATATAGGAGCAAATCCATCATACCCAGGCGATTTATATGGCCCCATAACAAAAACAGCTTCATGAATCTCCAAGTCTGTAGGAATAGATCCTAGCTGTGAGAGATAAATTTGATCAATGGAAGGAAAGGAAGAAATAGTTTGAAGCTTTGTTTTTGGGGATGAATTGGAGAAAAATAGTTCCTTGAAATAATCAGTCACTGAATTTTTTAACCCAGACTCCTCATCAATCCGATCACCATTAGCATTTTGCAGAGTGGTGATAAGATTCTGGCATCTTCTCATAGAAGCTTTAGATGGTAATATCTGGTATTTCTATCACCCTTGGAAATCCACTTAGCCCTTGATTTTTGAAACCATTTAACCTCCTCAAGCTTAAGTGCTTCGTCAAGTTCCTTTTGAAGTTCTAGCTCTAATTGATGCAGGAAAGGAGAGACGAGATAAGAGCCAGACTTTTGGATTCCATTGAGCCTTGCTAGAATTCTATTCTTCCTTTTTTCTACCAAGCCAAATACGTCTCTATTCCAAGAAGGAATAGCTGCTTTCAAGCTCTCAAGATTCCTTCCCAAACTTATCCGACCAATTATCTTTTAGAAAGGAAAGAAACCTCTCATGATATAGCCATATTGCCTCAAATTTGAAAGGTCTACTGGAACTTCTATGTGAAACATCATTCCAGTGACAGACCAGAATGGGAATATGATCAGAGAAGGAAGTTCTTGGAAGTACCTTAACAATACATCTCGGAAATAAGTGGAGTAGATGGGAGTTAGCCATAGCCCAATCCAACCTGTCATATAATCTGGAAAATCCAACCAAACGGGGCCTTTTCCAAGTAAATTTAGGGCCAGAGAAACCCAAATCTGTTAATGTGCAATCTTGAATTCTATCCAAAACCACTTCATTGGGACCTCATTACTATGTACTCCCCCCACTCTTTTAGAGAAAGAGAAAATATCATTGAAGTCTCCACAAACTATCCAAGGTTTCGAAATCCCACCTAAAATAACCTTCAACTTCCTCCATAGCTCTTGATGAAGATTAGAGTGAGGAACCACATAAACAGCAGTCAGATGAAATGATGCAACATTGACCCTTGAACAATCAAGATGGAAAAATTGTCTATCTTCTTCTAAGACTATAACTTTAATTTGATCATTTCTCTAGGCCAGAATGATGCCTCCTAATCTTCCAACGCTAGGCACCATTTTAATGTTGTCAAAACTGAAAGAATGAAGAGCCTGAAACTTTGTGATGTCATTACATTTGGTTTCTGCCAAAACTAACAAGTTGGGCTTCGCCCATTTAGTAGAGCTTTCATGTGATAAAAGAGGCCTCTTCCACAGCTGCCTCTTGTATTCCAATGCATAATTTTATCCATAAAACTTTGCAAGAAAGATAAGTGGCCCATTAATTTTCTCGAGACATTTGAGTCTCTGGAATCACTTTGTCATTACTTTGGGCTTGAGTTGGAGCGGGGGTCAGGATTGGGCTTAACAACCACATGGGCCCATTTTGTCAACCCCTCCTCCTCCATCCATAGTATCTTCAGGATCGACATGGTAATTACGATAAGAGACATCCTCTGACACACCATGCTTTTGTGTCGCCACTCCTTCCTCTCGTATAGTATCTTCACCACACATCATCTCTTCGTTATTGCTCATATCATTTCCTTCCCCCATAGTAATCAATAGCATATCTCCTCCTTGTCTCTTCTCATTTTGTAACGACTCTCTTGCCCTTTTCTCCTTTCAATACTCCTTTTTTTGAAGCGCAATCGCATTGTGCGCGCACTCCTCCTGCACCTGTTGTATTCCCTGCTCTCTCTCTACTGCCACCTGTCCCTTACTCGACTGCACCAGCCCATTATCCTTCTTTTTTGCTTTCTGTGACTTGCTTCTCCCTTTCCTAAGATGATTAGGAATGGGTACTGTCATTTCCTATCTAGCTGGCTCTTCATTAATCTTATTTTCCTCCTCATTAACCACATCATTAAGTCCTTCCACATCAATGAGAACATTAAATCTAGAACCCTTCCTCACCGGCCATGAAGTCTCCCCTTGTTTCTCCTTTGTTTTCCGTTGACGGCGCACTTTTTGCACCACCCTCCATTGCTCATTCACTTCACCCATAATAGAGTCTGGCAGCCCCTATTCTGCCCCATTCACTTCGCCTTCAATTGGCCGATTTACTGTTTCATGAACCCTAGCTTTCTGGGGACAAGTTTCCTGCCTATGCCCATAGACTCCACAATTAGTGCATAACATATGCAATCCCTCGTATTCCAAGTAATAATCCTCACCATCCAGTTTGAAGCCTGACATAAGTTGTTTCCTGAGCTCTATCAAGACACATATCCGAGCAAAATGACCCCTCAGTTGATGTGAAGTATTCATATCAACTTTGATAGTCTTCTCTATACGATTTCCTATCACCGTAAGCGCCTCCTCGTCATAATATTCCAGAGTAACTCTTGGCACTCTAACCCAGACTGCTACTTTATCAATGTTCACTCTGTTTGGTTGAAATTTTGGAATCTAAGGTTGGACTGTTAAATAATGATCATAGATCATCCAAGGGCCACCAGTGAGAGCATAAAAATAATCTTCTTTATTAGAAAGCTTGACTACAAAGTACCCCATAGCCAATATTAATCAAGTTGGTAATGCCGCGTCTAGCCCACTTACTCTGAAGTCTTGCTTCCAACGCTTTGTAACCAATAGACTGGTCGAGAGGTTTCACAATAACTACCTTATTCCAAGCTTGGTAGAGCTTCTTTTTCATTTTGTTGGACAACATAAATGTAGGAAACTTCCTCCTAGGATCCTCAGAAATAGAGAAGTCTGGTTCCACTGTGTCCTGGTTCTGCATTTCCTAGGAACTAATAGACTTGGAATCCTCCTGATTGTCATCTTCTACATTTTCAATATCATAATCTGATAGGTCCTCCTGACTCGAGACACCCTTCAACTTATTAGCAAAGGAAGTTCCTTGTTTTACATTACTTGCCGCAGCAGGTTTAGACCCTAACTTTAGCCAATAGCCTTCTAGCAAGTTCTCCGTAGCACTGCTAGTCTCACCCTTTTTAATCTTTTTGGAGCTTCTCGCTAATAAATCTTCTTACTTTGCTTGAGGAGCCAGCTCGAGAAGTTGTCTTACTAGAGAGCACGAGAGCCATTGCGCTTCCTAACTCAATGGCATCCAAGTTAAACACTTTTTAAACTGCATGCCTTGTCTCTAATAAATCTTGAGATCCAACTCAACTAAACTTATTTGTCAGCAAAAAAGAAAAAAGAAAAAAAAAGAAACTAGCCATGCAGAAGACTTGGTACATTGGATGGAGGCTCAACTGAAAGAAAGAAGTTGCAAAGAAACGGTGAGCATGTTAAATGACATAGTTAATGCATTAGGACTTTTCAAGAGTAATGGATTTTGAAACATGCATGGATACCACGTTAATTAAAAGGAAAAGAGTGGCAATGTTTTCAACAAGTTACCAACGCATTAAGTAAGAATCTAGATTGGGCAATATTTTTGATTGCTTTATAACTTTTATATTACCAACGTGTGTTAACTTTCTTTCTTTAAAACTAACAAAAATAAACTAATTTTCACAAAAACAAAACTCATCTCTAAGAATTTTTTCTTTTTTTTACAAGAGACCCTACGACTTAAAAGATTTTTTGACCAACAAGGTTTAGTAGAATGGATTAATATTTTATAATGTGGTGAATCAATGTTTAAAATCATGTTAGAAGAAATACCTATATTTAACGTTGAACAGTACATTAAATAATATTATCATCTTGAAATAAAGTAGAGACTACATAATCCTAACAGTTTTTGCTTCCAAACGAAAATTTAACTACAATGACCTAAATAAGAAAAAATTGAAATATAAAAATTCAATCCCAATGATTTTTTTTTTTGCCATCCAATCCCAATATTTTATTAAACTAAGAAAAAAATTAAATTGAAATTATGGTGATGATGTATGTAATTATAACTGACTTTTTTTTTTCCGCCAATGTAATTATAACTAACATAGACCATAAAGCTCCCAGCGTATTTTAAATCAAATACATGTATTTACTTTTAAACGGATCGACATATATGCAGAAAAAATTTTCTTATGCATTGACCCAAAAAAAAATGCAGCAAGCTCAGATTACTAAATTACTTACTTGTTAAACCAATTTAAATTTACCCGATAAAAATAATTCATTATATATTCACGACATCTGAGAACTAATTTGACCAACTCCAACGTTAAACCAAGCTAATAATGCACAGAGATTTTATTTTGTCAATAAGCACCCCATTATGATTTTGAATTTTGTGGCACTGTACTGTAAATGGAACTTACTTTAATTTAACTTAATATGTAACTCAAATAATAGAGATGACCGTTGCTTTCAAATTTGAACCGGGGCGCTATACTGAACCGCTTTTATTTATTATTTATTTTTAAAATATTCCGGCTCCACTTTCAGTCTCATATCAGAGGCGCATCCAAATTCAAATTTCACGCTCTCCATTCCTCACGGCTGCTCCTTAGCTTCTTTCTCTTGCTCTCTCTTTGTCTGCGTGAACTGTGAAGAACCCTAGAATCCCTCCAAATCAGGCACGATTCGAAGAGATTCTGCGGAAATCGCCATTTTGCGAAGCCAGATATGGCTTCTAGGAACCAGAACAGGCCGCCGCAGAGCCCCTTAAATGTGAGCCTTTCCTTATCATTTATGAATTAATGGGTTTGCTGGGGCGTGAAAGATTTTGTGGGAAGAAACATGTGAAATGAAAAAACTTTTTGTCTCGTTTTTCTTGCAATAAAGTTTGGTTATGCTGTCTGATTTTTAAATTGACGGAGGGGTTACGATAAATAGATTGTGCGTTTTCTTCCATCTTAGTTTTACATAAAAATGGAGTATTTCCTTTGAAAATCGAAATTATGCTACCGGATGATTCCCCCTCTGTATGTGTTTCGACTGCAGCAAATATCTTCCAAATCTTGTTTGTTTCTAATGTTACTAGAGAACTTTTTGCACTTTATGTTTTCTGCATTAGAATTAGAATTAGAACAAGAGTAGGAAATGGGGCATAAGTATTTCTTTTATTTATTTTGCGTTGGATTAGAAAAAGGCAGCTGCTGAAGAAAACCCCCTTGACAAACGTCGGAGGATTGGAGCAGAAAGGATGGAAAGACTGGGAACCACCGGCAGGGGAAGGAGGCCATTTACCTCAGTGAACAAAGGGCCTGAAACTAATACAGCAAATGATGTTGGCGGTGCCGATGGTTCAGAGTGTAGCACTGTCGAGTACACCAAAGAAAACGTGGAGGCCTTATTGAACGAGAAGCCGATAAAGGGAAACCCATATGATAATAAGGTTTCTTTATCTCATGGAATCTTTATCCAGATCGTTCCCCATCTAATCGATGATTTCAATTTTGTTAGCGTTTGGGTCTTCCTTTGTGTTTATTTCATAGTTTTCCCACTTATTTTGCAGAAAAAAATGGAGCATATGGCAGATCTTATTAAGAGGTTTAAGCAGTGTGCAAAGTACTTACAAAAAGAAAAGGAAGATCTTCAGTCTGCAATTGAATCTGCTGAGAAGAAGTGCACTGATACTGGTAAGTTTCTCTCCAACTCGTAATTTAACTGTGTTGGCTAGAATTGAGGTTGTTTCTAGTGTTGAAACCTTTGCTCATATGCTTGCTTACTTTGCTACGATGGAAGGATTCATTTTTCATTTTCTTTTGGATATCAAGCTTTGTGACAAGTAAACTGCCCAGTATATATATATTGTTGCTGCAATTTTTGTCACACATTCTTTTCAATAACCTGAAGTGAAGAGTATTAGAAAAATACGCACTTTTGCCTTGTTTGTTGGGAATTGAGTTGTATGTCGACATTGTTTAAGTCCTGAAAATTTATTTGCTACCTAGACAATGCACTATGTTTTCACAAAAGAAAATTTTCAAAGAATTTCCTGCTTAAGTTTTTTATTGCAACTCATAATTTAACATTTCTCTTGATGGAACACTGAAGTAATTATCATACATCCATACTTTCTCAGAGACTCAAATGAAAAATAAGATTGAGGAGTTGAATGAGACAATATCAGATTTGCGACAGACAAATTCTTCTTTGGAAGAGAAAATTGCAAAGGAAGAGTCGTGTAAGATGGTAAGATTGCTAGCCATACAACACCGTGACTGAATGATCCTTAAAGTTTCCTTTTTCCTGATGATCCGTTGTTGTATGATGATCAGGAAGCAATTGAATGTCATAGAAGAGAAAAGGAAGCCAGAAGTGCGGCTGAAAAGGTGCAAGATTCCCTTTCAACTGAGCTTGAGAAAGTTCGGCAAGAGAAATTAGTTCTTGAGCGGAAGGTACTGCAAAATCATAAATAATTATCTCAGCAAGAAACATTTACCTGTTGAACATTAGATGTTACCATGATTTTATACCCAAAAAATATTCCTGCCCTGGTATATTCTATCATCGACTCTAGCATGATCACGTTACAGCTATATTGCTTCCTTGTTTCTGTTTTCTGAAATTGCTGAGTTTTGCAGGCAAATTCAAACGAGGACTTGTACAAGCGTTCTCAAGAGTATAATATGAGTCTACAACATTATAACAGTCGCCTCCAGTCAGATCTTGAATCAACCAATGAATCACATAAAAGACTGGAAATGGAGAAAGCGACCATTGTTGAAAACCTAAGCAATGTAAGAGGTCACAACAAGGCATTGCAGGATCAGTTGGCATCTGTTAAAGTAAGTCTTTTTACTAGATATGTTTTCTCTTAGGATGCTGAGTGTTTTCTTTGTAATGCTTTGTCAACTAAGAGTTTTAATTTCACAGATTTTTCCCATTTTATGTGGAAAATAAGGTAACAGTGATATGCGCTGTGGAGACATTGGAATTTTTAGTCTTGGGTGTGATAGAGTGCAGTACCACTAGAGCTTTGCATTGTTAGCTAGCCTTGCAGTCCTTTTGTTGATTATTGGCAACATCCTTTGTGCAAGGCACTTGATTTCCACCTTATTTATTAACAAGTTTACATGCTATTATAGGCGGTTCAGGAGAGTGGAGCTTTGGGGACATAAGCTAGATGCTATTATGCTATTATTATAAATTCCTTATCTTACTCCTCACTGTAAATGTCTTAATATTCTCTTCTGTTGTTTTTCTCCTTTCTCTATCTTTGTTTCTTAGGCTTCAATGGAAGAGGCTACAAAGCAAAAAGATGTGCTAGTACAGGAGCTGAATTGTCTTCGTGAAGAATTGAAACAAATTAGAGATGATCGTGACCGGCAATTGGGACAAGTAAAGGCTTTAACTGATGAAGTAGCATACTACAAAGAATTTACAGGGAATTCATGCGCACAATTGGATAACCTGACAATTAAAATAAATGCTCTCGAGGTTTGTTTGCTTTGCCTCTACGCTTAAATGCTTTTGACATTATGACCTTTTGCTCTGTATATTTAATGTGCAGTCCCATCCTCGTTAGATTTCAAGATTGTGGGATTTCTTTTACAGGAGACATGTTCTTCTCAAAGAGAGCAAATAAATATACTGCAACAACAGCTTGCTGCTAAAATGGAGAAATTAAAGGCAAGGAAATTAGTTTTTTTTTTTTTTTTTCCCCTGAAACAGTTGCTTGACATTGTTATGTCTGATGTCTCCCCAAGTAATGAATGGTTTTAGGCTATTTATGCATGTAGTGCTCATTGTATTTATTACTCTTCTGTCAGATGGCCGACTTATCTGTTTCAGAAACAAGAACAAGTTTTGAGGAGCAGAAAAGACTTATACATGAACTACAAGATCGTCTAGCTGATAAAGAATTCCAAGTGATTGAGGGAGAGAAATTAAGGAAAAAATTACACAACACTATCCTTGTAATACTCTTTTTCTCTGATATATAGGAAAAAGTTTCTTTTCTTCTTATTAGTAAATAATAATTTAGTTGCACCCAATATTAGGAGCTTAAAGGGAACATTCGCGTGTTTTGCCGAGTGCGACCTTTGCTACCAGATGATGGTGTTGGGACAGACATGGTTGTTTCTTATCCTACATCAACAGAAGCTCTTGGCCGAGGAATTGAATTGGTACAAAGCGGTATAAGTGCTTACTTTTTAACTCCTTATATGATACTGTTAGTCTTTTGAGTTTTATGTAGTGCATAAGCTTTCTTGAACTATAACGTTAGAATTTAAAAAAAAAAAGAAAAAGAAAATTCATTCTTTGATGATCAACAGGGCAAAAATATCCTTTTACATTTGATAAGGTCTTCAATCACGAGGCTTCTCAGCAGGATGTTTTCATCGAAATATCGCAATTGGTACAAAGTGCGCTTGATGGCTACAAGGTGATTTTAACTTCTTTTGCTATGGGATTGTATAAATTAGAAAGTTTATAACAATTTGGAAATACTCAATTGTAAGATTGATGAATCAAGGTTTCTTTCCATTGGCTCTAAATACAAATGGATCTATAAAGTTTCATTTAATTTATGAATTTGTATTTTAATGGGAAAGTGATTTTAAATTTAGCGCTTTAGAATAGTATGTTTATTTATTTGGCTGCCCGTCTTTCAGCTGACTACTTCGTCTTTCAGCTGACTACTTCATCTTACTTTTGCGTACTATTTGGCCTCATTAGTTCAGAATTAAAAGCTGTAGTTCTAACATCAATTTTCTAAGTTAAATTTTATGACTTAAGACGGACTTTTGCTTGATGTTCAGCTCACTCGGATTTTTCAGAGGCATTATAGCTATAGTTGAGTACTTTTGAAAGATATCTATTCTTGATGTTTATGTGGCCTTGAGCAATGCATTCAAGTTGGATCTGTGGATCTATATACATAATTAGAAATTATTGATTCCTTTAGTATGCTTTTCATTATCTTCTTTCTCTTGCATTCGATGTGTTTCTGTGAACTAGACTAGATGTGATTTGACATAGAGACTTGGGCTTGTTATGTTAGGTATGCATATTTGCATATGGTCAGACAGGTTCTGGCAAGACCTATACAATGATGGGCAGGCCTGATACCCCAGATTTGAAAGGATTGATACCACGTTCTCTAGAACAGATTTTCCAGACTAGTCAAGCCCTCAAAGATCAGGGGTGGAGCTACAAAATGCAGGTCAGCATATTTTAATTTTGATTATCATGTGGCTACATCTACAAACTGAAATTGAGACGTGATTTTGTTAAATATTTAGGCTTCAATACTGGAAATATATAATGAGACTATTCGGGATTTGTTGGCATCAAATCGGTCCAGTGGCATTGATCAGACACGAACTGAGAATGGTGTTCCTGGGAAGCAACAATACACTATTAAACATGATGCCAACGGAAACACGCATGTTTCTGACCTCACTATTGTGGACGTTCGTAGTGTAAATGAGATTTCATCTCTTCTTCAACAGGCTGCGCAGTGCAGGTATAATTTGGCGTTAATATACTTTTTAATCCTTTAAGTTTGTTCTTACTTTGGTTTTGATCCCTTAGGTTTCAAATTATAAGTTTTGGTCTTTTAAATTTCTTTTTATTTAAAATATTGGTCCCTAATCCCTATAATACAGTAAAAACCTAGACTATTTTGCCTTTTTAGAAACCAAAACCTATGGTGTGAAACTTGAGGGACCAAAATCAAAATGAGAGCAAACTTGAGGGACTAAAGATTATATTAAACCATTTGGCTTATATTGCAGAATACTAGAATTTCCAGGTCCTCCTATTCCTTTTTATCTTTTTTTGCATGTTGAAGTTAAGGTTGTATATAAACTTTATGGATCAATGAACTATTGAAATGCACGTTCTTTTTCCATTTGGACTTCAGATGAAGGTTTTATTTTATATATATATATACTCCTCCGGTCCTTAATATAAGACCCATTTAACTAATTTGATTAGATTAAAAAAGTTAGGTAAGTTAGTTAATTATAAAAAATGTGACATGTTTTTCTTAAAATACCATAATTATCTTTCTTAATACCTCATCTTCCTCTTCTACTTAATTATGGTTGAGGGAGTATCTATAGGGGTAATTTAGAGAAAATTGATAAATATGAGAAATGGGTCTTATATTTAGGGCCAAAACCAACTCAACAATTGGGTCCTATATTAAGGATCGGAGGAGTATATATTTTTTGAATTATTGAGCTAATATTGAACAATCAAGGTTTTTTTTTTACTTGGAAGTTTCTTTTTCAGTAACATAGTTTTTATTGATTAAGATAGACTTTATCCCTTAATATTTAACTATTGTTCTCTGCATTAATGGCATGAGATTCGCCTGTGCTGTTTTAGGTCGGTAGGAAGAACCCAAATGAATGAACAGTCATCAAGAAGCCATTTTGTCTTTACTCTGCGGATATGTGGATTTAATGAGGTATGCACGAACTTTCATAATGTATTGCATTTCGATTTAAATGCTATTGCTCTCTCTCTCTCTCTCTCTGTGTGTGTGTCTAACTGGATGCTTTGATGTCCTCCCTTTGTAGAATACTGAACAACAAGTGCAAGGTGTCTTAAATTTGATTGATTTGGCTGGAAGTGAAAGACTGTCCAGGAGTGGGGCCACTGGGGACCGACTTAAGGAAACCCAGGTTTGTTTTGCTTGCATACCCTGAACTTGAGCTGGCTTATGCTGAATAACACTATCTTCTTAAATGAGTTTGCCATTTTGTTCAGGCTATCAACAAAAGTTTATCATCTTTGAGCGATGTCATATTTGCTTTGGCCAAGAAAGAAGAGCATGTTCCTTTCAGGAATTCAAAATTGACATACCTTCTCCAGGTACGTTAAAATATGAAATTCCAATTTATCTTCTTGCATTGCATTAATTATAATTACACCGTTTTATTCGATGTTTGATATTTAATTAGTTTTCCAATGGGTTGTTTGATCTCTTGTTGATTAATCTAGTTTAATCAAGACATTCACATATTGATTTAGTAGTGACTTGTGTTTGAATGGTTGATTTTGTTGGTTTAAACAGAATTAATAAGGTTACTCAACGCCTAAATGAGACAGGCAATTAACTACCACCAGCATATGTATATTGCTAAGCTTAAATTTATATTTTCTTTTGGAAAAAAGCATAGCAGGGAGGACAGGAAGGATTTTGTTTTTAATCTAATGATAAATTTGAAGTAAACATTGAGGCAACCAAAAAAATAAAAAGGAAGAAGGGGAAAAAAAAAAGAAAAGGAAACATAAGTATTCATGATTTAAATAGTGCGCTTCCTACAATATTTATAGACAAACTGATGATGATATTCATGATCTAAATTTATGTTTGAATGAACTTTGATAAAATAATTAGTTTCACAATAACTTTTTTGAATGATATATTAAAAAGTTAGTTTTAGAAGGTTCAAATATGAGGAAAAACCAAAAGCTAAAAGTTAGAAAAAATTGCTTCAACTTTAAGGTGACTTTTGAGCAAAAAATCAGTTGTTCTTGAAGCCATGCCAAATATTATTTTTACATGTAACCGGTTTTTTTTGGGTCCTAATTGACTTTGGAGGCTACCTAATGCGATCCCAAACACGAAATTGTCTTGAGGGTTTTTAATGGAAATTACTGTTTATCCCCTGAGCCCTATGTTTGCATTTCTTTGTTCCTTCCTGTGATGATGCTCTCATACATTATATTGAACTCTGTTCTGTTATATGAATTGTGCAGCCATGTCTTGGGGGAGATTCAAAAACATTGATGTTTGTAAATGTCTCACCTGATGCTTCTTCTTCTGGAGAGTCCCTTTGCTCTCTTCGCTTTGCTGCCAGAGTCAATGCCTGTGAAATTGGTATTCCAAGGCGTCAAACATCAGCCAAGTCTTTTGATTCTCGGCTAAGCTATGGGTGAAGATTGATGATCGAAGAAGAGAGCAACGTTGTGATGGGTCCCACCAACATAGCAGACCCAAAAAAAAAAAAAAAGTTCTTTGGGGGAAATTTGACTTGTTATACTTAATTTGATAGGGAGATTTGTACACTTTACTATTGTAGAGGGCAAAAACCAAAAAAAAAAAAAAGGGAGAAAGAAGAGCAATATATTTGTTCCTTGTGTTGTGAATGAAGGTCATAAAATTCTAGGGTAGGAAATCTCTAGCAGTGTGTATTTGATTTGTGGAGGCTTGGCTTTAGCCTCCGGTTGTGATCTGTACTACTATCATTTAGCATTGACATAATTAATGAGGTTATTTGGGCTGTGTTAAATAATTAAAGTATGAATTTAATTTAAGCCACATACACCTCCTTTTGGCTGAGTAAACTGTTGGTGGGTGCTTAGATAACTTAGAATTTTTTTTTTGATGGCATAAGCTAAAGTGACCACTTTTTTTAAATTGTAACTTTCGAACGTCGAAATGAAATATCGAAAGAAATAAAAGCTATATACAGCCTAATGAAATGTGTAAATAAAAATAAAGAAGAGAAAATTAATAAAAAAAAATCCCTGTTTGAAATTTTAATTAAGTAGAAGGACCTAAAATTGTACAAGTATATGTATGATTCGTAAATATAATATATCATCCGCTGTGTTTATGGTCAATTAAAATTTTAAATAGGGATTTTTTACTAATTTTTCTAATAAAGAATTGCATGGAACTCGAAATAATTTGCCCCTTTTGAGCTGTTGATAATATAATTTTATAACAAATTTTGTATTTTACATTGATTTAAGGGAAAATTTCACTGTAGGACCGCAGAAGACAATTAATCTTAAAGAGCCCCCAAAACTTTCTGAAACCTCACTGCAAGACCAAGGGACCAATCTGATATTAATTCCACAAACGAAATGACGCCACTGCCCCTAGTAGAAACTTATTTCCTTGAGGGAACAAGTGCGGGAGAGCGCATTTACAAGACGAACTAGCCAATTTACAGAATAAATACATATATTCACACGTGGAATCAGTCCATTCACATGTGGACTGGTTCACCTGATGCATGAGTCCGTGAGGGAACAAGTGCGGGAGAGCGCATTTGCAAAGTGAACTAGCCAATTTGCAGAATATATATATTCACACGTGGAATCAGTCGTTCACATGTGGACTGGTTTACCTGAAGCATATGTCCGTGAGGGAAAAAGTGCGGGAGATCGCATTTGTAAGGGGAACTAGCCAATTTGCAGAAGAAATACATATATTCACACATGGAATCAGTCCGTTCACATGTGGACTGGTTTACCTGATGCATGCGTCCGTGAGGGAACAAGTGCGGGAGAGCGTATTTGCAAGGGGAACTAGCCAATTTGTAGAATAAATACATATATTCACACGTGGAATCAGTCCGTTCACATGTGGACTGATTCACCTGAAGCATGTGTCCGTGAGGGAACAAGTGCGGGAGATCGCATTTGCAAGGGGAACTAGCCAATTTGCAGAAGAAATACATATATTCACACATGGAATCAGTCCGTTCACATGTGGACTGGTTCACCTGATGCATGCGTCCGTGAGGGAACAAGTGCGGGAGAGCGTATTTGCAAGGGGAACTAGCCAATTTGTAGAATAAATACATATATTCACACGTGGAATCAGTCCGTTCACATGTGGACTGATTCACCTGAAGCATGTGTCCGTGAGGGAACAAGTGCGGGAGATCGCATTTGCAAGGGGAACTAGCCAATTTGCAGAAGAAATACATATATTCACACATGGAATCAGTCCGTTCACATGTGGACTGGTTCACCTGATGCTAAGGGTAGTGGCGTCATTTCGTTTGTGGAATTAATATCAGATTGGCCCATTGGTCCTACAGTGAGGTTTCAGAAAGTTTTGGGGGCTTTTTGAGATTAATTGTCTTCTGCGGTCCTACAGTGAAATTTTCCCTTGATTTAAATTTAATATAACGATGCCTGCTTAAGCACTCAAATTTTTGATTAAAACGAATCCTCAGACTATTGACCGTGAAAGCCGATCTTACATGGGTCGTATGTATTTGAGTTGGCGCCAGGTAAATTTACCAACGGATAGTATTCTTATCCAACTTCCATTTTTATTATTAAGAATCTTTCTTGATGAATAAAATATCTGTTTTTATTGGTCTTATCCAACTTGGGCTTGAGAATCTTCCAGACTGAGCTGTGGGCGCCCATCAAACCACGAAATTATTGAGCATTTCTTTGTTATCTCTTGGATTCTTTCGGTGATTCGTCCATTCTGGAATTCATCATCATGTCATGTTTACTCTTTAGATAATTTGTCATTTTTAACCGTAGAAGATGCGGTAGTTTTTTAATTATGCTTTGAATATAGAATGAGCACGATATTCTTATCTTCTTCGTCAGGTCTCCTGCTGAGTTAGGGGTCGTCTTATCAGGGGAAGAAGATTAAATTATTAATCAATAATGGGTCCACGGCGTCTAAATCAGGTTTATTTAATCAAGCCAAATACTTTATTCGGGGAAACAACAACAAGCCTTGGAGATCGAGGGAAATCCTCAGGGAGGACTTGAAGTTGAAGCAGGAACAAGAAATGGAAGTACAAGAGCCACAGAAATCAAGGGTTGTGGTGATTGATTCTCCGCAATCTTGGGAGTTCTATGTCGCTCAGGCCACTAATCAGAATTGCCCTGTAAGTGAACCATTTCAGACTGTCAATTGGGCCTTTATAATGTTCTTGTTCTTTAAGCTGAGTTATTAAGTGTGCTCAGCATTCGATTCGAGTCAACACTATACATCTTTTCCTTTTCTCAATTTCAAAGTGAAGAATTCCTGTTCAGAAAACGTGTTTATCCGCTGAGATTAGCTAATTACTATATTCATTTATAAGCGATCAAAATTTTATTGGGTTACGGAATGGCTTTATAAACAGGAATTAAAATTTTATTTGGTTTTCAAATACTGTCTGAATTACTTCTTGACGCCTACACTTGTATGCGTGAATTTGGATCCTGGGTTTGTCATGCGTTTTAAAATTTTGCTTCTATAGTGCTCGGTTCTGCGGTTGATTTTCGTCTATAAATTGTGTATTTTAAATGTTTGTTCTTTTAGATGATTCACAACCCTGTTATAAAATGATTCTGGAGATGGTCTTATGGCTGTTTCATGCCTTTTCGTATCTTTTTTGAAACACGCGTTTCCGTTAACTTGGATGTCATGGTGCTTTTTAGTGGCACTCCTTGGTAGATGATTCATTTAATATTGTATTTCTTTGGTATCGATTGTAGGTTATTGTGCACTTCACTGCTTCATGGTGCATGCCGTCGGTGGCTATGAATCCTTTTTTTGAAGAAATGTCTTCAGGCTATCAAGATGCTCTTTTTCTGACTGTTGATGTTGATGAAGTCAAGGTAATCCATTCAGTTTTTAGTAATAACGCTTTTGAGCCATTTCTCGATGCTTCTGGATACAAATAGAGTATGTGGATGCATACCTGCTGATTACATGCCTGAAGCTAAACATATATCAGGATCCATGTTTATAATGCGCCGACTCTCTTTCTCTGTGTATGTATGATAGTGTTATGGATACTGTGTGTTATAGATGTTCTTTCTGCTAATCAGCATATTTTTCACTCTCACGTATGTTTAAATAATTGAATTAGTGGTGTGTGTCTGATGGAACCCAGGTTCAAGTATTAAAATTCACAATAACCTTGCCAGAGTGTGAGTCTAAGCAAGAAAAGCAACAATTCTTAAAATAAACACGCAGGACACGCTCCTCCTGGTATTTGAGAGAGCAGGCCTCTCTCAAATAACGCTCACTAATTTCCTAGCCTCCCTTAACCATCACTCCCCAAATATATACAACTAACTGCGATGTTGCTCTCTTGCACTCACACACATCATGCCTCAGCCTAATAGTTTGTTGCCGGCTCAGCCCTTTCAATGTGGGTCCAAAAGTCACCAAGAAAGAAATATAGATATTTTGTTGATCATCTTAAATGTTTCCTTCTCAAATTTGTTTACTGATTGAATTGTTGACCTAGCTTGGCATGTTATAACTCATGCTTGGGTAATGTTCTCATCTAAAGGTTTTGAGATCATTTTGTTTAACATAATCAAACATATTGAAATTCTTTTGGTCAGGATGTAGCCACTAAATTGGAGATAAAAGCCATGCCAACATTTGTGCTTTTGAAAGATGGGACTGTGGTGGATAAGATCATTGGTGCCAACCCAGAAGAGATCAAGAAAAGGATAGATGGGTTTGTCCAGTCCATTCGTGTTTCAGTTGCGTAGTTAGGTTTGTTACTTTTGTAATCTATAAGATATATGCTTGCTGTCCTTTTGGACTAGTCCTTACGGGAATTTCAGGTGGAAGGCTTTTGTGATGATACTGTTTGTGTTGAATGATGCAAGTTCAAATGTTATAGTCTCAGCTTAATATTTCACTTCTTTAGTTAGTGTCTCTTGTTTATCTGTCAGATCAAACTTTCATAGAATTTGTAAAACATACTGCAGCTAAACGTGATTGTTTAAAATTATAATGAAATCAATCAAAACACAGACTAAGACAAGCCTTTATTGAAGTGGTTCTTTTAATGGTATAAATGCCTCTATAATCAAGAATACAAGAGTTTGAGCTGCTCTTTATTCTCTAGATTAAAATGAAGTTTCAACTTTCAAGAATAAGATGTTGAGTTTGAGAGTTACACCCTTCTGTTTGAAGGAGAATGTAACTGTTTGTTTGGCATGCGGAATGAAAAAATAAAATAAAATAGAAAATAGAAAGAAAAAGGATTTAAATAATGAAAGCTCATATCCTTACTTAAGAAGTAAAAAAAAAGGGAAAAATGTTTATTCCAATGATATAACAGATTTGTATAGAGAGAATGAAAAGAATGTCATTTTCCAACCTGTAAACAACTGCGCCATTAAAAGATTATAATGAGGCCAAAATATAATTGTTGGTCCCTGAAAATTTTTTTCCATAGAATCCCTCAACTTTCCTAAATTAACATATTCTCCAACATCACGCTCTGTTATATTACATGGCATCTTAAATGTTATTTTTTGCTGACTCATCTCATTCGTCATGTTTTTCTCTCATATGCTCTCACCGCGGCTTTATCTCTGACTTTTATATGATGGGGAAGAAAACATTGTTGGAAGCAGGGGATAACAGAGTAGTTTTATCAATGGTGGCCACCAGGGTTGACATGCTGCTTTGTATGGCTGACTTTGAAGAAAACTATGATGCCACCTGTCAATTTACATGGTGCCACTGAGAGAACCAATTTGTTGTGGTCAGCACCATGAGCGGCACCTTGCCTGGTGGAATGTAGATATGTGT